TTTCAGTTCCATACATATGGTGCCATCTATACTATAAACAAACTAAAGCTAGAAACCAGTAATGCTATTGTTACAAGTTTCAAAAGCTGGAGTTTTTAAAGTGGACAGATTACATTTTTGTTGCTGGGCTGACAATCCCTTTAGAGGCCCTAACGCAATGAGTTGCTCACTGCTGGTGATGCCTACTTTCATTTTACAACTGAATTAAACTAGAAGGGCAAGTTAAAAGCAAACGTTAACATTTTTTCTGTTCATCAAGATGAACAGGAAAGATAAATTGTGTCTCAGACATGCTGGATCCCAGAAATCCTCCTCTAGATTTTGCTTTCAAGATCTGGAAAAGTTACACAGCCTTTTGCAATGTCCTAGTGTCAGCTACCCCTTTGGACAAAAAAAAAAAAAAACAAACAAACAAACAATTGCCTGATTTACTCAGTTGTGATGTTTGTATAACGCTGAATTCAATTATCTGTGCCAAGCACCTGTAAGTTATTGAAAAGCACCTATCAAATAACATTAGGTAAGGGGTAAAAAGTATAATAGTGGATTTAAGAGGATACAGAATTGAAATGATGAATTACTGTGGCCTCATTTTTAGTACGATCTTGCTTAATTAATAGACCAGGGAAGCCAAGTGTTTCAGAGTTCCAGAGAATGTGTGTAAAGAACACAGGGAAACATTCCCCCCTATTCATTGGGCGAAAGGTGGGGGTGGGTATGTTTTTACTGAAGAATGGTGACCATAAACCTGTTGCTTGTAGTACTTGTTTTATTACTATCAGGGTTATCTGGGGGAGTAACTTTTACCTAGAGGAAATATCTATCCCCCAGACACTGTAAAAATGTAAAGTCACATAACTGTTTGTTTTCAGCAGAAGGCATCAGCTCTGTTCAACTATCCACCTGGCTGGAAAGCCCACAGACCACTCATTCGCAAAGCAATTAAGGCGGCCTTTGAAGGATTAAGTTACAATATAAACTCTTAAAGCTTGCACACTCAATGGGCTTTGTGAAATTCAGCCCTGCTCTTACTCACATTGCTTTGAGAAGCTATGTAAGAGGTGAATAAAGGAGGAAATACAAGCAGATCTACTGAGTACTTTTAAATTGTAGGAAACGTGCATATCCTGGAAGGAAGAAAGCCAACATAACCACAAACGCTGGGGGTTGGGGGACAATTCAGTACTCTGTTTCCAAAACAAGCTCAGACCATGTCCTAAATAGATTTTTTTCCTCTTTTTAGCCCTTGTGTGCAAGGAAAAATGCTGACTTGCTATTTAAACTCTCTCTCTTTCTAGAAAAAAGAAGGAGTACTTGTGGCACCTTAGAGACTAAAACTTATTTGGGCATAAGCTTTCTAGAGTACTTATTCCTGCTAAAGCAGAGGTACACTTTTACATCGAACGGAAGCATCAGAAGGCCAATTTCTGTGACATTCTATCCATTTGGTAGGTCCCAAAAACCTCTTGAAAGCTGAATGAATAAAATGCAAGTCAGCCTGCTAGCATGATGTCCTTGCACCACTGACCACTACTACACAGGCTCTAGGCTACTGAAAGGTCATCATGGGCACCAGCACATATACTCAACCCACCTGGCATAGTACTGCTGATGAACAGGGTAGAAGAGAACACTGAAGACTGCAGGGCAGGCTCTGCCTTCTACTCCACCAGTGCCCTTCCAGCTCCTCAAGCAGTCCTCCATGGCACAATCCTGCAAGGCTTAAGTGTTCCCACCCAACCAGAGAAGCCATTAAACTTGTATTGTACTTTGACTTCATTGAGACTAGTCATGTGCTTACAAGTGTTCTGGATCTGGCCAGAACCCTCGAGCCCTTGCAAGACCAAACCCTGTGTAGCCTAGCAGAAGCTACCTCCATAGCAACCACAACACTGCTTGCTGACCAGCCAGCCAACTTAGAATGCCAACTCAAGGGATTTATTTCCTCTGCCTTATGAGCACTCAATCTCTACAGCAAAAAACCTCCCAGCACCTTTAAACCCAATTTACACTAGAAGACTTCAGGTGTGCTATGTACATCAGGTGCCTGCCCTCAAGCGCACCACATTCATTCATTACATACAACTAATGAACACACAGCATGGACTGGAGTCTTTCATGCAGTAACACCAGCTCTCAGAGTCCCTGATTATCCTCAGAGTACAGTAATTTCAGGTTTTTGCACACTATGTAAAGTATGGACACAGATATATTATGCCACCACCCTTACAGGTTTTTGTGATTTTATACCCTCCAAAGGAAGGCTCAGTTAGGTTTAATATTAAAATGATCTCCACATGTCTTGTTTTAAAGAAAGTTAAACATTTTCAGAAACTTTCCTTCAGAAATCCTTATGTTACTAGATGGGAAATGTCTTCTCCGCATTAAATACAAACTTTAAGTACGTTCTTCTGAAGGGGGGATAATCTGTCAAGAAATTTGCACTGCAAGTCATGGGCTACATAAAGTGTATTTTTCTCCAGTGCCAAATACAACCTTTACTCTCCACTACATGCATCCGATGAAGTGAGCTGTAGCTCACGAAAGCTTATGCTCAAATAAATTTATTAGTCTCTAAGGTGCCACAAGTCCTCCTTAACCTTTACTATAGTTTGTTTCTGTTTCAGACTCACCTGCTTAGACCAAGACTAATCTGTTGGTGTGTTCTTCCCTCCCCCTACACCCCATCCATGACCAGATTAACATGCTGTGCCAGACCACAGAACTGAAAGTGTTTAGAAAAATCACTCCGAGATCGAGGGGGGAAAAAAATAAAAGGGGCTTTGTTTTGTGGGCACCACCATCTGTTTTACCATTTTCTACAGCACAGCACCATAATATACCATTAGGACTCTCAGCAATCTTGTCATAAAAAAGCAGAACAATATTTATGCTTTTTTTGTTCTGTGCTGCTTTTGCAGATTTTCCCATCACTGAAAGCTAATTAGTTAAATACATTGTATTCTTCCAGAACAAAATCAGATGTGCTTCTTCTATTTGACTAGAAACATGCTAAGTCAAATTACTTTTATGTATGTTTGTTTTGTTTTTTTGTTTTTTATTTATTTATTTTTTAAAAAAGGAAGGATTCCTTCCAAACTCCCACCTCAAAAGCATGAGCAGGTGGCATCAAATCCTCAATACTGCAGGGTTTACAAATCCAGCATTTAGATTTCTCTTTAAGGGAAATTTGCAATTTAAAAAAGAAAGCTTGGGTTTGCATCCTCTTTTTTGCTTCTTTATTATGTATAAAGAAAGCCTGAAGGGTTTTGGGGGGAGGGGTTTACGGGTATTTTTTCCACTTTAATATCAACTCTTATCTTGCTGGTTATGCTGAAGGACGGTCTGTTTTACTCTCTCATTTGTTTCAAGGATTCGTTTTTCCAAAATGTTAAAGGCATTAACAAAAAGACTCAAACTGTACACCGTGACAGTCCTTTTCTTTCTCAATACACTCAGATTCTGAGCTCTTAAATATCATTTCATTCTTTAACCAGAATTTTCCAAACTAGGCAAGACCTAAACTTCTAATGCAAGAACACAAAGACGCACAGTTCAGATCAGGCCTTCCTTATGAAGGAAGTAGCAAAAGAAAAGTACAAGCCCATTTTCCCCCCTTTTCAGCTTCACCTGCAAATTCAAACAACCAGGCCTATTCCTGTCATAGCAATTGGCATCTATAGGTACACATGAACAAAGAAAAGATGTTAGCACTCTAGGATAGTCTAATGTAACTTCAGCCTACTTTGGGGACATAGTATGCACTTGCTAAAGACAAATTCTAAGCCACATATACAAGAGGTAAAATATGGCTAAGAAATTATGCAAGCCTCAGAAGAAATTGACAAGCCAAATAGTGTAGGTTTCAGTAAAAATTAGTTTTAAGTAACTTCATAAACAAGTTCAGTGTTTTCTTCTGCATGAAAAGAAACAGCTGTAGATCTAGATTTACTTGCATCAATTATCCCCCCACTCCATTTCAGAATCAGAAGGACCTGTCCCTCAACGTGACTGCATGAGAACAAACAACCCACTTGCCAAGACCTGATAATGATTAAGTCACCTGATGTAATTTATTGTTGAATGCCTGCTGGAGAGACAAAAGTAGTAGAATATCCAAAGTGTTAATTTTGTTAAGGGTAACTTGAAAGGGAGTAAAGTGCAGATAGTTAATCTTTGCTGTGATCTCTCTTTCATGTTACCCAGCTAAATGCATTTAGCAATTCTTGAATGTTTGAAGAGTACTTAAGGAAATGCAACATCTAAATAGACAATAAGAAAAGGAGTACTAGTGGCACCTTAGAGACTAACCAATTTATTTGAGCATAAGCTTTCATCGGATGCATTAAAATAGACAATGCTATTATTTCTAGCAGCTCAAAGCAAGTTTTTTTAAATTAAGAGGACAAGACAAAGCACAGCAATAAATCCCTTCAAATACTGCCCAAATATTGCTCATTTAGGTATTTTAATATCAAAGATTTTTTTCTTTAGGAGCACACGTAGATGCAGTACTAGCTTTATCAAAGCAGACAATTACAGCCAGCATTTGTACTATCTCAACTCCTCTGCAGTCTGCCAAGAAACAAGTGTCTGCAGTAAAACCGCCTCTCAACCTGTATTTGTTTGAAAACAGAGTTACTTCTTCAGACCTCAAGATCTTTTGATTGGATGCAGCACAGCAATAGTATCCCCTTTTTATTTAAACACATTGTCTCATCACCAGCTTGCCTGAATTAAAACTGCTGAACCAAAACAGGCAGATATTTTTAGCCTGTAAACAGGTTTTTGCAGACTCTAAATTATGATTAAAGCATTTTTATAGGACAGAGAGGGTTAAGTGTAGCTTCTTCTTTGATTAACTCAATTGGTGAAGACAGTTACTTGACAATTTAGAGCTTTAACATTTGTTTTCCTTATAATGCTTGAGGGGTGCCAAAGCATTTTTGCTGAATCGAAAATGAACAGGGGAAGGGGAGAGAAGGGAATTAAAGTCCAACCTTCATTCTCAGAGTCTGATGAATGTCTGCTGCCAGCTCCCCTTTCCACCACTGCTCTTCCATCCTCATTCTTCCCATCCAAAGGTGTGGAAGAGTGGGATTTAGTAACTCTGCTGGAAAGGAAACAAACCAAATAAATCAATCAAGCAGCTTCTACAAACCAATCCAGTGCCATCAGTTTTTCGTAGCTGTTTTAGTGTTAGTTGCTTGCCATCAGATTGACAACACTCTCTAGAAATAAACCACTTGAAAACAATCACGGATCAGCTTGTTTCAAAGAGACAAAAATACAAGTTATTCAGAGTCATCATAAGGCCACCAAACTTCTGATCAGATTGTGACCTGTAGGTTTTGCCAGTTGTAGGACATTGCCAAAGCCTTTCAAGGGGTTTTGCTCCAAAACATCTCGGAGCAGCATTGTCCTCGGGATCACTTCAAATTTCAGAGAGCTTCTCCAATACCAGAAGTGTTTCTTACACTGTTGCTTCCTTCCCATAAAACAAATTAGTGGTGCCTTTACCCTCAGACACCCTTTATTCTTCCTTCTAATTGCCTTTCCCAGGTAAAAGTTTTTTTTGTTTTTTAAATTGGGACGGGAGGAGAGAGAGAGGACGGGAGGAATGAGTCCCAGCGAGAGAAATCCTGGGGGACTTCTTCCCACCTGATGAAATCAGGGCAAGAAGCGCCCTGTAATTAACTTTACATCAATTGGATCTAGCCCTTCCCCAGCTGGTTGTGTAACGCAGTCACACTGGGGTTTCTAAGACCCTGCGAATGTGCCATTCCAGCCTGCAGATTTCTTTTTTCTCTTTTAATTAACTACGCTACACAACCTCAGGACCCTGAAAAATGCAACTTGCGTTACCTTCGCCGGCTGCCTCCTCTTTGCCTCCCTCACTCTGATCAGCAGCCTTTGTCCTACTCCAACATCCTGCGGGTGCTGCTACAGCAGCAGGGCCAATACTGCAGCCAAGAGGGGGGAGAGCAGACCCCGGCAGCCCTTGGCGCTAGGAGTCGGAGGGAAAGACGGGAGATGGATGCACACCCTCCACGTCCCCAGGGTGCACCACGCAGGGGAAAGAGACGCTGCCTCCCCCCCCCTTTTATAGCGCCCAACCCCTCCAGCCTCCCCCGTTGTTCTCTTGCACCCAGTCCCCGCAGCAGGTCACTGCTGCTGCCGACACTCTACGGGAGCGCAGCAGCGCTCGCGGGGGATTACAACACCGGCCGCGCACCGCGCAGGCGCCATGCCTCCGCCCCGAAGGACTCTGGGGACTGTAGTTTCCTGCCCCCTGCGCGGTGAGGCTGTGGGAAGCGGCAGGTGAGGCGTGGCTTGGCTCGGGCGGCGGGCGCCCCGGGGAGAGGGTGTCCCCCGGGAAGGCGGCGCGTGCTGCTGGGGCTCAGCAGCTGGCTGCCCACGTGCTTGCAGCAGTGCTCGCTGCACCAGGGTCACCAAGCCCCTGGCCTGGGTGGGTGGGTGTGAATGTCTTATGCAAATCATGCGATGAGCTAATGTGCATATTCGCAAACATTTGCATATAATCACACAGTCTGGGGAGTAAAGTCAGCAGCAGGGCAAGCTTCCGCCATACCACTCTTTTGCCAGCCACAACCATTCAGAAGCCAGGGTTAGCCCCTCTCCCCATTATGAAGTCGGCTTTAAAATCATGACATTTTTATAATATAATAAATGTTGGGATCTTTATTTGCCTTCTGGTTTTTGAGACTTTAGGGCTCATGTTTTGGTGCTTTTTTTGGGATGTGTGAAGGCTAGAAACTTTCCTCCCTCCCCCCCATGAAAGCTGAGTATGCAAGTAGGCATCCACTGTGAGACATATGATGCCCCATACACACATAACCAGTCAGGGAGATAAGCATCTGTTACCCCCTGCTTGAAAGGAACCTGTCTATGACATGTCACCTCCTGGTTACCTGCCTTAAGAACATAATTTTCAGTATAGATACACAGTACAGATAGTACTCCTTAGGTCAGTGGTGGGCAACCCCACGTGGCCCATTAGGGTAATCCGCTGGCAGGCTGCGAGACAGTGTTTACATTGACCGTCTGCAGGCACGGCTGCCCGCAGCTCCCAGTGGCCACGGTTCGCCGTTCCCAGTCAATGGGAGCTGCAGGGCGTGGCGTGGGCTGCAGGGATGTGCTGGCCACTGCTTCCGGCAACTCCCATTCGCCAGGAATGGCAAACCACGGCCACTGGGAGCTGCGGGGGGCCGTGCCTGCGGACAGTCAATGTAAACAAACTGTCTCGCGGCCTGCCAGTGGATTACCCTGATGGGCCGCATGTGGCCCTCGGACTGCAGGTTGCCCACTACTGCCTTAGATGCTACCCATCCATACATTTCCCAGTGATTATGACAACCAGTGTACTACTGGCTCTCGGTAGAGACCTCCCATGTCACCCTTTAGTGAAATATTATGTAGATATATGACCCAGAAGATCCCTGTAAAAATCTATTCATCCCCTCTTCCAGTTGGCACCAAGAGGTTCATGGGTCACACTGCTGATTAGTGCAAAGCATAGTGGTCAGTTTGTGATGTGAGAACTGGAACTGAGACCCTTCAAATTCATCTCATATAAGTGCCACTAAATATCCATTAGATTAGAACATATTTTAGTCGCTGCTGAACTGGGCTGGGTTTAAACTTGTAACCTCCAGGTTAAAGGCTCTGCAGTGCATTAGCACTTTCCTGAGGCGTAAGTGTTAATTTAAGAGGGAATCATAGATATAGATATTTAAAAAAAATAAAAAAAAAAGCCCAGTATTTATATATCTATATTAACAGAATATGAAGGTTGCAAGTCAAGCACTCAAAATGGAGATGTTAGAGTTAATGTTACCTATGGCAGCCTTAATTCATCATTCTTCTTCTCAATGGGTCTTTAATTATATGATTAAATATTATTTTTCTCACATGATTCATCAGTTTGGTTTGAACCCAGGACCTTCAAAATCACAGCACAGAATCTACTAATTAAACTAAATGAGCAACTGATAACAGAAGTAGGTTATTAGCTTCTATAAGGGTCAGCCCCTATAGTTGTTATATCATCCTTTTCCAGGGGGTTACACAACTATTTGCTAGACCAGGTGTTCCTAAACCGTGCTGTGGTATGTAAGCTTGATATTTCATCAATTTACTTCACAATGATTTTTGAAGAAGATGGTATGTGAACCCATATAGTTTAGGAGCCGCTGTGCTAGATAAAAGTAGAATGTTGGGTGTCATGATTCCTAGTTGCCATTCCTGGTTCAGGGAAGGTAGCATAGGATGAGAGTGGTAGTCAAAGACAAGCTAACCAAGCCTGTAGCTTCTTTCTGGAGTAGTGCAACTAGGACTTGGCTAGGGATCTAGGTTCTAATCCTAGCTCTATTGGAAGTTACCTTGACCTGGATCCTCAAAAGTGTTTAGGTACCTAGTTCCCCTTGAAATAAATGGGAGTTATGTGCCTAAATACCTTTAAGAATCTGGGCCTTATCTGAAAGTGGAGAGAATAGAAATTGTTTCAGAGGGGAGTATAATGGGTTGTATAGCCCCTGACTGCAACAGCTACTTAATGGATACACTCAAAGCAACTATTTTTTCCACCTATGGCTAATTATTTGATTAACAAGCTGCAACGTGGGGGTAAAAGGCTGCACCTCAGCCAGAGATGGGTTGGTAATAGGTACCCTGAGAAGGATTTAGCACTGGGTGCAGTTTGGGAGGAAATAGTGTAAGCACCTGGAACCTCTAAGAATAAACATGGGAATGAGCTGCTCTTTGAGAGGGGCCTGGAGGTCAATAAAGGTAGGAAGTTCAAGTAGCTAAGGGATGTAGCAATACATCTGAGGGAGCAGACCTTAGCATGGTCCCTGGGCTGAAATCTAGAGGAAGGGGGGGCCTGGGTTCCCTTACCTGCCCCAGGGAAAGGGATGGAAAGCTCTCCTGATGCAGAATGTGGTTGAAGACCTGGCATAAAATGTTGGATTTCTTTTTTTAATTCATCTGGAAGGGGTGGGACTACAAGTGACCTGAGTGGTGAGAAGGAGCAAACTGCGTGCTCTGAGTGGCTGTTGATGGAGGGTGCTAGAGTTGAAGACACACTACACCTGGCCATGAAGGGGTGCTCTAGTTGGTAAGTGACTCCTCGCAGAGGATATGAAGGCTTGCTCAATAATAAGGGTTATGAAGTATAGGAAAAATATCAATAGAAGTGGTGAGCTTTGAATTTATTGTCTTATGGTTCCCAACTTGGGGAAGTTTTCCATAGGCTTCAGGAGAGAGAGAGCTTGTAAGGGAAACTCACTATCTCCAGGCTGAATTTGTCTGTTTCCCTATCTGTAAAATGGGAATAGTTGTATGTGGCTCCATTATAAAGTGCTTTGAAATCTCCCAATGAAAACTGTTATATATGAGGTGGGTATTGTTATACAAGTTTTCTTTATCATGCCAAACATACTGGGGTCCCGATTACATGTGGACACCTTTGGTGCTAATAGAGCAATAACATAATATAAGGATTTGGGCTCTCTTTCGGCTCAGAGAGGTGTGACTGTTCCACATGTCAGAGAGACAAGGTAATATCTCTTATTGGACCAACTTCTATTGGTGAAAGAGACAAGCTTTTGAATGTAAGCAGAGCTCTTCTTCAGGTCAGCTCTGTGTAAATGCTCGAGCTTATCTCTCTCACCAATGGAAGTTAGTCCCTTTTTTGTGTCTCTAATCTTGTGACCAATACAGCTACAACAACACTGCACACCATACAGATGGCAACCACAGCTGAGGCCTGGGTTTATAGCCCTAGTGCAATGTCCCAGGTCCATATTCAGGGAGCTGGGATCTATTCCTCAGACCCCACATCTAGGAAGCTGTGATTTTATGTACACCCTAGTAGAAATTGCAATTGACTGCATTATAATCCTTCAACTTTATTAGCTTTCTGCTCTACTGGCTTGGAGGAACACCAGTAGTTCCTGCAAGCAATACATCAGTGCACCCATTAGTTTATTGCCAAATCTAGTTCCCAATCAAAACTATATGAAAAATATTATTTCCAAGTAGGGATTCTAAAAGGCAAGGCTGTGAATTCTCTCACTTGGGAAACTTGGGTTCCATTCTTACATCTAGGGCTGGCAGGGAAAACTCCAGTTTTTCATAGGAAATATAAATTCCTCTTGATTTCCTATCAATGTTTTGGCTTTTCCATTGGAAAAATAGGGGCTTTTTAAAGTTAAAAACAAATGAGCTTCCCATAAAAACTCAATTTTTGAAAACAAAACACTTTATTGAAGAATTTTCAGTTTCCAGTTTGACATGTGGAAACATTCAACCAGAATGAAAACTCTTGTGAATATTCATTTTGGTTGAAAAGCATTTTGTTTTTTAGAAGATGTTTCAGTGGAGAAGTTTTGACCAGTTCTGTTTAAGACAATAGGCCCCAGCTGTTTTTATGCTAAAAGTTGAGCATCCTAAATTGGTTAGTCTCTAAGGTGCCACAAGTACTCCTTTTCTTTTTGCGAATACAGACTAACACGGCTGCTCCTCTGAAACTTGATTTATTAACTTGCTCTGCAAAACAAAAGGAATCCTACTAATGTTCGGTGAAGTTGACTGTTAATGGCCTGTTAGAATTCAACTGAGTTGGCTGCTAACTACCTGTCGGAAACTCTCCCCTATTTTCTTTTCAGTATCTCTAAGCAGTCTGCTAAATAGATACCAAAATACTACAACACTTGCCTAAAATAAGCATCTGAGTAGTTCTATTGTCACTGGCTCAAAATTCAGCACATTAAGTGCCATGCTGAATCAGCACCTGAGTCCTGCCCTAGTGGTACAAATGTGAGAACTATTAAAGTATCAATAGACCTATTTTTCTTCTGTTGTTTATCTACTTTGTTAATACAGCTATGGGGTGTCTAATATTTACATCAATGCCATTCTACTACCTTTAAAATCCAGATGTATATAGCTGTAAAGGTAAATGACTAGAAGTGTCTAAAAGATTATAAACATTTTATGAACAGTTTTTATTTTCAGTCCAAAATACTCCTCCTCCCCCCACCACCCTAGGGGCACTTGAAGGGATTTA